GTCGTCAGATTAAAAGAGGTTGATAAAGTAAAGGCAATACGATAAGAATGTCGGGTAAATAATAAGTGGTAATATAATACACGGATGGAATAAGTGAGAAAACTTTATCCATATCACTATGTCGATATCGTACATCGTATAAACTTTTAAACTCCCCACCCTCACCCCCCACTATCCCTGGAAACCTCTCTTAAGTAACAAAGCTCACAGCTTTTTTTGTAATTTTTAGATTTTTAAGCGCCAACAAATTGGAGACTGTTCCATATCGAGCTTTCTTTAATCTCAAGTATCCTGAGATAATGTGAGTATATTGGCTACAGAGAGCAAACGCTTTTAAGAGGCGAGGGCAGGGGGGGGGNTAAGTTAATTAATTAAACCACGAGTCAGTGAGAACAGAATTCGTTCCAAACAAGAGGTATATCTGCCATTTTAATTCGTAAAGTTCTGAAACGTTGCGCTGATTAAATTTTAGACGTCCTGGTGGGAATAACGAAGCCAATCATATTTTTTTGTCTAAAAATTAAAAAATATATATATAAAGTGGATCTGAGCCCCTCCACAAAAGTTTTAAAACTTTGCAATAGGTTGCATCTTATGCGTATGATAGTAGTTCGATAATAAAAAATAGGGGTCACCGGGCTTGCATGTTCTTGGGTTATAAGCACTTGAGGGTGTTTTTAAGAGATTATACTGTCACCATCATGGTAACCTATTATATAAAATGGATGAGCACAACTTGTTTAACAATGATTGGGTATTCATGTGATACTATTATTGTAGAATCATATAATTAAGAGTGGTAGTGTTGATCTATCAAAGAATAAGTGATGGAAAGTCGCTGGAACCTATTGTCAGGTGCCTTGACCTATTAATAGCCAGAGAGTCATATGTTGTGGGAAGTATTTTTTCTCTCCGTTTTTTCAAGAATGTTGTCAGATAATCCCATAAAGACAATTGAACCAGAAGCGTTCACACTTAGTAGTACAAACGACTGGCGGAAGTTTTTCCTAAGGATGTAAGTCACCGCTTGGAATACTAAGGCTATATCTTAACGTATGTGGTTTTGTTTGCCACGCAGCTTTCGATCAGTCTTCGGAACTCAGGATATCAAAGCCACTTTCAGTTAGGCTGTCAGTTAACTAAGAACTCCAAGCTTTGCGTAGATTAAGTTTTAACTAGGTTAGAGGAGCAGGTCTTGGGTTTGCATTTGTTTGATCTCAGATCACGTATACACTTTTTAACAGTGAAAATAAACCATATGGTGAATGTATAATTTGTTTTGAAACTATCATCACAACAAACCCTAAATACAAGGCTTACATTTTCAATGTATGATACATGAATTGCCAAAAACGAAATTTTAGTACACGTGATTAAACATCATGTCTTGAGATTTTAAGTTTCTGAGCGATATATTTTTTATCACAGATATTTACTAAGGACGAAGTTGAAGATATTGAAGATTGAAGTTTTCGTTGGTCTCCGTGGTCTAGATTCCCGCATGTAACGTATCCTAATTGTATTCATACAAATATCTTTCAGTAAAGAGACATAGCTTCTGGCTTGACTTTTACCCTTGGTTGGTTTTCTCCGCTCTTTTCAGGGGAATATCGATGTACAATAGACCAATTTCGATATATTAAAATTCAACCTAACACAATAGACCTCAGCACGAGGCTCTGGGGAATAAACCCCACAAACTCTGTATTTATTCCCCAGAGCCTCTTACTGAGGTCTATTGTTTTAGGCTGAATTTTAATATATCGAAATTGGTCTATTACCACTGCTAGTAACTAACTGTCAAAAGAGACTGGGTGGTATTAATTTGAACAATGCAAGGCATTAGACAATGGCAGATTTGCACCATATCATCATTTGACTACAACTTCAAGGATTCCTTTCATTTTTTCTTTATTATTTGAAATTGAAGTCCCAGTGGGATTTAAGTAACAATGCTCTGATTAGCACAACAAAATAAAAAAAGTGAAGGATACTGGTGGTTGTAGTCAAATGACGTCAGCATCCAAATCGCCTATTGTATTATATAACATATAATAGAGTATCACCCCAGTCCCTTCAGTCTTTACACACCAATAGCATGCTTTCACATGACGTCACGGCGCGCGGCCATGTTGATGTCCCAAACCAATCCTCTTTTCTTGTGTAAACAAGCATGGCTGCCGGCCACGTGCGTGAAAATGCTCTGTAAAGATTATTACATACGGCAATACAGAATAGGCCTTAACATGACAAACACGGTCGGTGTTTTTAGTGTAAATAAAAGGAATACATGTACATAATTATTTGTTAGCGACCAGCCGAAACGGGTTTCGGTAAAATTAATCAATGGAACCGTACCTTGCCGATTTATGTTCCAAGCCTCCATAGTGTAGGACATCTCGTCCTGCATTTGTCCAAGTTTTTTTGGTTCCCTTGGAAAACACACATTGACATCCAAGAAATGAAGCCGGACATTTAAGCCATGGGACGACCCTGAGGACGTTTTGTAAATTTTCTTCTGTCTCATTCGTCACGTGCAAATACCCACGTGGTCTACTGGGCTAGGCTCGTTTGCATTTCAATTAACGAAGTGTTATTTATTATCTGGAAAATTAATGCTAATTAATACCTTTCGATTAGGGGTATATTTGATGAAAAGACCACGTACGATATATCAATATTCTTACATGGCTCTGAGGTTTTCAGGACAAACTTCTTCATTTGGTGGTGCTTTCTTTATGTCCAAGTATCTTTTGGAAATTGAGGGACGAAGGATAAAACAAATTTGTAATTTTGACCTGAAAAGGCTCGGAGCCATGTTAGAATTATAATATATCGAACGTGGCCTATTGCTAATTCTGATTTGTCCTTTTTTCACAGCATTATAAAGAATAGAACAATTGGAACTTTGAAGTATTTCTCTGGTGACACGCAACGCTGCTCGATATACCTGTTAGTAAATTGACAATGTAGATTTACGCATTATGTGGGTTCGGAATCAAACGGTGATTCTGAGACACATTCTCAGCAAATCTATTATTGCCATTAAGTACACCGAAAACGAAGGATGTTCATCGTCTGATTCGATGATTTCCATACGATCGTCAATATTTTTCCTGGACATCAAACATTTCTAAAAGAGATATCGAGTATAATGAGTGATGTACCATTAGAATTTTGCTCCTCCAACTGCGCAAATCAAGGGTTTGATCCCACCAGTGTCTGTCAACACGGAAAATTAGCTGTTCTTTGAATTGATTTATTTATTGATCTATTTATTGCACTTCAATGGCAACCAACAATACAGAAATGCTGTAAGGATGGTCAGTAAAAGAGAAGAAGATCCCATACTCTGACAGATTACCTAAAAATCTAAATACAGGTTAAAATTACACGAATTCAAGTAGCTGAAGGATACCTCGGAAATCTAATTGTGCATTATAAATATATGAAAAAATGTTGAAATAAATATAAATTCTCTATAAGCCAATCAGTTCAGTTGGTATTCATCGTTAGAACTGTATAAATTTCATATCTCCGTGGTTGAAGAGTGTTATGTTGAGTCTCTCTAACACAGAGAATTATTTTATTCAAGGAACCCTCTGGATTCTAAGGCAGAATCTGTCAACGTCACTGATCCTGATATGTCAAGTAGCAGAGCCTTTATTGCTGCTCTCTTGGCCTCGGGATTCCGACAAATGCCTGAAAATGACCCATCGTTAGATAAATTTCTTCCATGTCCAGTGGGGACATTTTCAAACTCATCCTCTAAAGGAACACAAGGGTGTACAAAATGCCCAGCAGGTACATGTATGGCACTGTTCATTCAATATGCAGTATTTTATTACATGTATGCCAATATGGCAGCCAATGTCCTTATTTGGCTCGAGCTAAGAGTCTATGGGGATAGTACGACTGAACAGAGAAGCATGTATGTTCCCAGCCTAACTTAGTCAAAGCACTTTATCGCATTACCTTAATTAAGTATGAGTTTTCGGACAGTTATGCCTTAGAGAATGTTCTAAAATGCGAAGGAATTAATTGCTGACAAGTGAGGAACAACAAAGATTTTTCCACTACTGTGGCTTCTGTTTATTCTGGGAAGCGCTTCGCGTGGGTATTCGCGTCCCGTGCGCGCTTTCCCTTTTGGGAATTATTATCCTCTCTTTCTTCTTTTCTTGTTTTTGTTTTTTTACTACATTTCCAACAAAGTTTATTTAAAGTCAACCTGACAGCAATTTCAAAAACTCATTAATACTTTATCAAGTTTAAACAAGGGAAATCATGACCGTGACGGTGTTTGGATATCTGATCTTAATTAGCATAGATTTTTATGATTTTAATTCTCCGTTCTCTCCTTAGTTTTAGTTTTTATTGTGAAGATATATCACACACTCAAGTCAGTGTTTGACCACATTTCCAAACACCTCGAAGTTCCTTAAAAAATACTCCCCTACGCGTCATATTTTCAACTCTCTTCTCGGTGTTTGGAAATGTGGTCAAGCACTGGCTTTCGTGTTTGATATATTACATATAACATATTTTTGGAATACCCTATCAGCTAGACTAGTGTACAAAGATGAATAGGTTAATCAAAAAACACTATTCCAGATAAACTTCGAAATTTGTACAATAAACCTAAATACGCTTTGTTTCCGTAGGAGGATTTTACTCTGATGCTGTCGGGTACGTGGCTGAAAGCTGCAAAAGATGTCCGACGGGATCATTCGTGTCATTTGATCAAGCACCTGGAACGCAAAAGCAAGATTGCAAATCTTGTCCTGAAGGTAAACATCAAACACGCCTCTATTAATGGTTCCATTCTTCAGACATGTTATCCTTTTATTGTAATACATTACCAGATATTAAACCGAGATTTCTACACATAAACATAACTAACTGCGTCGAAAGTCACATTTCTTTGGGTACTCGAGCGATAGAGATTCGCTCAAATTTGGACCTAAACTGAAGAAACTATTCAATTCCTGACCAATCGATCATGTTTTGTATGGGTCACTACAATCGAGCTCAGTAATTTTTAAAATCCAGCGTTGGAAGTGAATATGTTATTTTCTCTATTTACGTAGTAGAAAAAATTCAAAACTACGAATAAGTAACAGATCTTGTTCGGAGGTACGAAGAAGCTAGAAACACAATATCAAGTACGATTGGGTAATCGCCGGCAATTCTAACCAGGCAGGGAAATGGGGAAACATCTCTTGTCGCAGTCTACCGTTATATGAGAGTCTCGTAAAAAGCTTAAATTTGTTAATGTAAGTTGAGTAATAATGATATAATGTGGCTTTTTACATTTTCTAGGAACTGAAACCGACTTCTTTGCTGGGTTCCGTGCTTGTAAATGCTTGAAAGGATTTTATCGAACCCATATGTTTGAAAAATGCCACAAATGTGGACAAGGAGGACTTGGATGTAAAGATGATTATGCCTTTTTGAAATCTGGTTATTGGTGGGAATGGCGGAACGAGACATACAAAGATCGTTACAAATATTTTATTAAAAATCTGTTGGCATCTTCACCAGCATTAGACGATTTTAGCATACAGTACCCTTTTCCCATACCAACGTCTTATAAGTGCCCAATAGAAGGGTCTTGCAAAGGTGGTTTGGATTCCCCTTGTGACAAAGGGTATGAAGGCCCACTCTGTGGAGTTTGTAGCTCTGGACACTATAAGCAATTGCAAACGTGCAAAGAATGTCCGTCTAAGAAGTGGATGGTGGGACAATTGTCACTTATTGCTTCCAGTTTTTTGATAATCGTGGCAGTTATAGTGTGGACAAGCAAGAAAAAGGTTAGAAAGACCGAAGGACGCTCTCTTCTTGACACGTTCTTTTCCAAACTGAAGATCGTGATTGGCTTTTATCAAGTCACTTATGGATTACTGGAAACGTTCTCGTACATAAAATGGCCAGATTCTCTGCAAGTCATCGGCAAGTACTCAGAAATTCTTCAGATGAATGTTCTTCAAGTGGCACCTATTGACTGCCTTAATCCAGGATTGCACGTGGATGCCTTTGGAAACCTATTTACGACAATGGCAGTTAATGCCGCCCTTATTGGTATTTCGGGAGTCGCTTACGGAGTTTTCAAAGTCTTCTTACGAAATTCACGCTTAGAGGAAGAAGAAAGGTTAAGAAAATTGTCCCAGACCAAGGAACTTATTTACAAGAATTTGTTTTTCTTTCTTTACGTAACTTACCTGAGCACATGTTCAAAGACAGCTAATGTTCTGCCACTAACATGCCGCAAAATATGTCGAGATGACGAAGAAGAGGCGTGCCTCAGTTACTTGAAAGCTGATTACCGCGTACAGTGCGCAATGACAAGATACAACCAGTTGCTTATTGCGGCGTACATTTCTGTTGCCTACGTCATTGCCCTCCCTGCCGCTTCATTCCTCGCCCTCTGGAGACAACGAAGAATGATTGCAGCCCCAAATGAGACCGATGCATCACAGGATTCAGACTCTAACATGGAGACAATTACCGCACTACGGTTTCTTTTTGAAAATTATAAACCTCGTTTGTGGTATTGGGAACTGGTGGAGATGTCTCGTAAAGTAATCCTTACATCTGGCTTGATTCTTGTGGGACAGGAGAGCAGGTCCTACATTGGCTTGGCATGGGTCATGGCCGGGATGTATGGAATGCTCTTCTCTTGGAACAGACCCATACAAGACGTGGCCGAGAACAGAATGATGGCTACATCCCTTGCCGTTACAGTCGTCAACTTGGGAATTGGAGCTGTCAGTAGAATTCCCGCAGAGAACATTTCCACCTCTAGTGACGCGTATGTAGATGCCGTCTTGTTCAAGATATTGGTACTTGGAGCAAATACCTTAGTGATCGGCCAAGTTATTGGTAAGAACAGCTCGTTCTTTTTCGGTAATTACTTAATAAATAAATTTTAAACATTAGCAAACTAATGCAGACCATAAGTTTATGGTTCAGATTTAGGGTTTAAATTCTTGTTGGGAATTATTGAGGACTACAGAGGAATTCAAAGCGGTAAAACTAACGTGGTGGAAGTCCAATTTTGCCTCCACTACACATCCGGACACACTAGACAGCGATTAAACTGGGTGCGTTGGCCAGCCAAGCCAACAGGTGCGTTGGCCAGCCAAGCCATCGTCCCGTTTATTCCATCTCAGCATATAATACAAGCTCTGAATAAAAAGAAAATTGCTAAGTGCACCAAAGCCGGACACGAAAACCCTAAAACCAGCAAGTGGAGAAAATTGGGAACGTGTGCCCCCGACCAAGGCAGTGGTGCAACCCTCGGGGTTTTAGGGTATCCTTGGTTAACATCAGTACTGTAGAATAATAAACCTAAGGCTTTATACAGCGATATAATAGCAATAAGAGAACTAAATAAACGTACAACAGTGGATTACAACTGATGATATTATTAAGAGAAAACCAAACTTAACCTAAACGCGGCAAAGGCTGGCCATAGAATGTCTCACCTCGCCAACTGTCACCGATTACAAACTCAAATCCCACTATGCACTGCGCACCTCAAACCCGTACCCAGCCCTCTGGTCCGTGCCGGCAAAATAGTAATTTATGCTAATTTAAGATCATCACAAATTACATTTGCTAACAGGAAAGAACAAACCAAATTAAGAACAAACACTGGAAAAATAAATACCTTCGGCTGGAATTGTTTCTAGCCCACATTACGTGCTTAACTTTGTAAAAACCTTTAAATTAAATATTTACATTTTACCATTATTAGCTCAGTACTCCACCCACCTATATAGTTACCTCATTGAGTGGAGGAAAAACCCACAGTGGTCCTTTGCTTGCTGCTTGGCTTTGGTTCTCCCACTAACTGATTTACAAGGAGAAATCAGCGGCATGATGGGTACGAATGTTCTCGATAATCAACTACAAACAGGACAGACAGATATGCCCACCATTATCGATGCAGTGAAAGACAGTGGCGCTATGGATGTTAACTTGGAAGACGGTGGACAAGGCGATGGTAACATAATCGTCGCGCTGCATGATGGGAGATGTCAAAATTTCAAGTTGAAAAACAAAACATCTAATCATGGGACACAAACAGAGCTATTTGCATTTTGGAAATCCTAGTTGAGGAGCCACAATTAATAAGGCTTCCAATCTCTGCGAGTACAAATTGAAAACAAATAACTTGTATTTATTCACCATTATTGATTTACATAGTGAAGACAGCTAGTGACTTTGACAAGCATGCGCAAAACGTTTTCAGCTGCGTCATTAAGTGAGGAATAAATCCAATATATCAGAGAAAGAAGCGTAAAAATAGAGGAAAACCCATAAATAAATAATTGCAGTTTGCCAAAGGAACTGATTAGTTAGTTGCACTCCGGCAACACTGAAACTTTAATTGTCACAATTTTTTGAAAAGCGGTCATTAAAAGAGAAGATCAGAACTTCACATCAAGGCTTCATATCAGTAGTACATATTTATCAGCTGTACCTAACACTTACTAATATCCAAGAAGGACTTATTAATATGAAGCAGATTCAATAAGACGACGCAATTTCAACTAATTTTGCACGAAAGCGAAAACCCTGATGCTCAAAATTTTTTTATTTTCAATTAACCTACCATTCATTCAAGCTTGCTTCCGAGATGCAATCAATTATGGATGCTGTTGACTTTTGTTTTCAAATTTAGAATGAGTCGCAGCTTCTCACAGCTGTTTCTTAATTAAAATTTATCTTTCGCAAACCCCTTATCTCTCCCATTGTTCATTTCTATCAAAATTAATCCTAGAAAGAATATTGCCTCACTGAGTCACGCATTGTCCTTTAAACCAAAAGGACGTTAATTCTAACTGTAGTTTGAGCTCTACCTTCGTCGAAGCCACTTTAACTGCAACATTTGGCAACTGGTTTAGCGGCCATTATAGTAGTTGCAAAGGTCAAGATTCTGAGAAGTTGCTTTTTCACAGGACAAAAGAAAAAAAGCTGCCAACTGCCAAAATTTGGGTGAGTAAACAGCAATTGATGTGCTTGGAACATATCTTTTTTGTTTTATTATATTCCTTGACTCGCATGACAAGTACAAAGACAGCTAAACTGTTCGTTTCGAGTTTACAAGCCGCCACTGAGAGGCGTAGAGTACAAATTCTCACTTCTATTAGAACACATACAATCACAACGTCTTTGGAGTTGGAAGCATGCGTCAGGAATATGAATTTCTAGACAAGTACATTGAATTCATTCTTATTTAACAACTGAATTTGTTTTCGTAACTCGGCAACATCCGTACATTACACTGTTTGAAGTCGGCCTTTTCTCTTGGGATCTGACAAGCTTTTAACCTCGCAAAGTTGAACAAAAAAGGCATTATGCGCAAAAAGAGGCAAAATGGGGATTTGGACAAGCCGCACCCTTGACTCATCCCAATCCCTCCTCGTCTCAAAATCGTGGCCGTCCATTCTCTTCCTGAGTTAGACAGTGAAACAGACTGCAGCAGTGTACGGTGTACATTTACTTTATTCAAATCGTACGCCTTGTCGTTAAAATAGTTTTTGTTTTATTTTCCGTAGCTGATTACCTTGACTGACGAAGAGTAGCAAGAGGTACTGTATTCTAAACTTCAGTGATCATGCGAGATGTCATCGCTCGACTACATGCATGTTGTGGTTGGATCCTTTAAGCTGATTTTAATTTAAGTGAGATAGCAGTAAGAAGAAACAAAATCCTTTATTTCCTCCTCAAAGTAGTAACCTACCCCGGATGTTGCTAATTAAAAACTGCTGTTTTGTTTTGACAAGAAATGTTGTTCATTTTCAATAAAAATTCTAACTTTTGTTTCCAAGTTACTTTAATATGCCACACCGAGCGTAATTTCTCAAAGTTGACATAAATATCATTTGTTAATTTTGCTTTTTTAATATCTTCACCTCTGCGGTCGGCTTTATTGTTTATAAATAGCGATAATGAATTGTCAATAGTGTGTTGCTCGGAAAACTGAAACGAAACGAAACACGAATTTCATTCAGAGCATTTCAAGCGTGGCTTTAGTCAAGCTCTGCAGATCAATCTCGCTTTGCCACGGCAGCTGTAAAAGAGTTATCATATACTCACAACGAGACGAGTGTAATTCCAATTTTTTTCCCGTTTGAGATCAAAATTCGAAGCCACAATAGTGAACTACAATCATCTTACACCACATCGGAGACGTGTATGGAGAGATTCGGGTGATGCAAGATAGGTGATGGTATAAATGTTGCTTTAGTCGCTTCTTTTTCTGACAGATTAAATCCAGGACGTTCTCCTGGCCTCAGAACAAAGAAGAAGCAGAATGCAAAGCCTTGCCACAGATATATTGGCATAAATTGGTGCTGTGGAAGTACCGATCTATCAAACACTCAGTTGTCATTGAACAATGGATTTGATATCTTTATTTGTTATTTTTATTAACGTCGTCGGTATTCCCTTGAACGCAATCGTCATTCTGATAGTAAAACGAACTACTTCTATGCAAAGCACCACCAATATTTTACTGTGTAACATAGCCTTAGCAGATATCTTCGTAGTCCTTTGGCAGCTGCCGTATTTTTTCAGAAGCCCTGGAAAACCCGAAATTCTTAATGAAATAATTTGTAAAATAGGTAGAGACGAAATTTTTAGTGCGGTTCAAGCTCTCACATTTACCTTGATTGCATTCGAACGATACATGGCTCTGTTTAAACCAATGAGCACTCGCTTACGAATCAACAGGGATTATATATGGCACGTGATCGCAGGTCTGTGGTTCTGCACAGCCCTACTATTTTCCCTTCCTCATTTAATCTTTAAAAGAGTGTGCTACAAAGATTCGAGACCTGTATGTTGTTTCAGTTTTGGTGAAACATCAAAGACTATATATTTTGGTGTACTTGAGTTCTTTTTTGTCATTAATGTAGCCATAACGTCTTTAAGCTATCTGTCTATTGTGAAAGGAATGTGTTGGGACAATACAATATGCTCTGAAACGGTTGAAACAAAACAAGAAGCAAATGAGAAGAGAAGGATCGTAGCTTTTCTTTTGCTCTTGACCTTTATTTTCACGTTAGGTTTTATTCCTTACATTGTGTATAAAACCCTCACTTACCATTTTCCTGACATTGATATCAAACGAAAACAATATCTGGGATTCCCCGTGTTGACATTCCCTGTTGTTAACCCTTTGTTGTACATTCTGTTCAATTCTAACTACAGGGCGGGTTTTAAGAAACAGTTTCGTGACATTAAAAGCCTAGCCCGACAAACGTGGGAGAGAATACGCTATTGAACATTTTTGAATCACAAAACCTTGCGAAAAGGACCGGATCGAGTACCAAGCTTCAGTGATTATAACAGAAGAAAGCTTTGAATGAATAGTTTAAGATGCCTGGTTCCTCTTTTTCTTTCTTTTAAAGAAAATATCAAATTGTAAAGACTCATTTCAAAGAAACTTTCTCTCTTACTCTTAGTAAATGTAAATATATATGTATACAACAGATTTAGAAAGGTTATCGATGGAAAAAAGTTATAATATTAAGCCGAAAAAGATTCGGACATCGATGTTTTTATATAATTATAATACTTTTAGATAATAGTAGTAACACTGATTAAACATAGACAAGCTTAAACAGAATTGTAATGTAAGAAACAAATCAAAACTGGTATAACTATAAGGTTGTGTAAGATCTGTTAATTTGTTTCTACTCAATGTAAAATAAAATGGCAGATTTAACAAAGTAGAATTTTCATGGTGTAAACAAACGTTGTTTGCGTATGGCGTGATCACGTGGTATAAAATGGATTTCCTTGGGAGATGTAGTGTGCTATTCTTCTGAACTATCCTCTCGTTGCAAGTGAATATTTGAAAGATCATATATTTGAACTGCGGAGAAAGAGATGAAGACATGATTGAGCATCGCAGTTAAATACACAACTTAAGCAGTTGTGAAATATAAGCCGGAAAAAGATTCAGTTGGTAGAGCACTGCACCGGTATCGCAGAGGTCATGGGTTCGATACAATACAATGCTTTATTTATTCTAGACACTTAATTCACATTTGTTCGAATCCCGTTCAAGCCTGAATTTTTTTATAGAACGAGACTCCTAGAATCGCAAACTTTATGCTTCATGAATCCTGGCAAATATTAAGTTCTTCCTGTTTTGGTTCAGTAAGAAACCCGAACTCCCTAGGACTCAGCCCGGTATTGAAATCTTGCCAAGAAATATCACTCTATGCAACTTTGACTTTGATAGCAAAATTGGCAAATAAAATAACACTTAAGTTTTTAACTCTATTTTTTTGATTTTTTTAACATTACTTTTTTAAATTGTATTCACTGTCACTGAAAAGCCCCAACCGAGGAGTATCAATAAAGTTATTGTATTTTTCAGAACTCCAGAAAGCCGTTGTATCACGACTTGCCTTATTGCACCCAACCGTCCCATCGTGCCCTGCGCGTAAATTGCATTGAGAGTGTGGGCTTTTCTAAGGCATGGTATAAAATAGTTATGTCACGCTTTCGAATATGAGTGGTGATACCACGCAATATCCACGTTATACACACAAGCCTTAAGGTTTGTGTGTATGACGTGGAAAATACAAGTGCCTAGTGAGATATTTCATCATATACTACTCAAAAGTGTCGCATGACTGGTATGTATGGTAGCTTGTTATATTGTATTGTATTTTTTAAGAAGACAGGTAATGTTTCTACTTTTTCCACCGTCTTTGCCATTTCAGTGAAATGCAGACTAAGAATATAACAGCCAAGAATGCATACATATGTGCATGTAACTATACAGAGAGTTTTAGTTCTCACATAATTATCCTTTACTTCACTGTCTTGCCATTATGGCCCTTTTCTGTTTAATTCTATTAAACAATTAGATTATGAGCTTGCGACTTCTATCACGCGATAGTTGACGAGGGCTGGCTGTGCCCTCGTCAACTATCACGCCCAGAAATCGATAGCAAATAATCTAATTGTTTTAGTCAAAAATCTACTAGTCGTTCAAAACTTTATCTAAATCCTCTTCACAGACACTTCGAAAACGAAAAGAAGCGGCCATGATTTTGTTAGACCCTTGGTAACGCCCTCACTATCTGCAA